AAAAAATTTTTTTTTTTTTTTTGAGAGAGAGCACAAGTGAATGAGGGGCAGAGAGAGAGAAAGTATCCCACGAGGTGCAGAGAGAGAGGGAGAGAGAGTGTGGAGTCCAGAGTGGGGCTTGAGCTCACCTGGAGCAGGACTCAAATTCACCCGAAGCGGGGCTCAAACTCACCTGATGTGGGGCTTGAACTCCTGAACTGTGAGATTATGTCCTGAGCTGAAGTCAGACGCTTAATCGACTGAGCCACCACCCCAGGTGCCCCTATTTTTTATTATTATTATAATAATTTCCTGACAATTACTTATTAAATAATCCATTCTTTCTCAACTTCCCATGTAGAAGTGGGTCAGTTTCTGTAGTATCCCATTTGTCTCTCTGCTCCTGCTCCAGAAACACATTGTTTTGTTGTTGTTGTTTTTTTTTTACTCTTTGTAGTATGTTCTATTTGATAAGGATGTCCCTCTGCTTTTGCTTTCCAAACTTGTCTTACCTATACATGTACCTTTGTTATTCACTGTGCATTTTAGAATACAATAGTTGAATTCCTCAAAAAATCTTGATAGGATTACATTGAATTTATATATTTAGACAGAATAGTTATGTTAATGTTAACTTTTGCCATCCGTAAACATATCACTGAATTTTTTAGGTCTTCAGTTGTGTCCCTTTTAATTATTTTTTTTTTAAGTTAAAATTATTTATTTTATCTGTTATAATATTTTTACTTCCTCTGAGATCTGGAATCCAGTATATTTTCTTTTTTTTCTCATCTACACTTTTAATTGATGTAATACACATCAAGTGCACAAATTGTAAGTGCACCTTGGCTAATTTTCACAAAGTAAACCCCCATTTGTAAGTAGCATCCAAATCAAAACCAAAACCAGAATCCTAAAAGGCACACCTGTCTACACTTCCAGACACTATCCATTCCTCTCCCCTTCCTACAGTAACCATTGTCCTTATTTCTATTTAGCTTATTTTTGAACTTTATAAAATTGAAATCATGCAATATATACTTGATTCTGGCCTCATTTGGTCAACATTGTGAGATTCATCCGTTCTGTTGTATGTAGTTGAGTTTGTTTACTTTCATTGCTGTGTAGTATTGAATTACATGAGTATGTCACAAATTATCCATTCTATAATTGATGGATATTTGAGTTGTTTCCATTTTGGGTCTACTAAGAATAGTGCTGCTATGAATATTCTTGTAAATGTCTTTTGGTGAACAAATGTATGATTTCTGTTGGGTATAGGACTAGAAGTGTTTAATTGTAGGATTTACCTAAAATCAGCTTTAGTTTGCTTATAGTCAGCTTTAGTAGGTACTTACTGCCAAACAGTTACCCAAAATGGTTGTACCAATTTGTTTACTTATTTTTTAAGTTTATTTGTTTGAGGGGCGCCTGGGTGGTTTGGTTGCTTAAGCATCCAACTTTGGCTCAGGTCATGATCTCACAGTTCGTGGGTTCGAGCCCCATATCGGGCTCTGTGCCAGCAGCTCAGAACCTGGGGCCTCCTTCAGATTCTGTCTCCCTCTCTCTGTGCCTGTCCCCCACTCGTGCTCTGTCTCTGTCTCTCAAAAAAATGAGTAAATGTTAAAGTTTATTTGTTTGAGAGAGACACAGCATGAGTGGGGGATGGGCAGAGAGAGAGAGGGAGGGAGAGAGAGAATCTCAAGCAGGCTCCACGCTGCCAGCACAGAGCCGAATGCAGGGCTCAAGCCCATAAACCCTGAGATCATGACCTGAGCTGAAACCAAGAGTCAGACACTCAACCAACTGAGCCACCCAGGTGTCCCTGGTTGTACCAATTTATAATCTCACTAGTAGCATATATGAAAATTCCAGTTGTTTCACATGCTTTTCAGCACATTTTTTTTTTTTTCTCTTTTGCATTTTAGCCATTTTGATGGGTGTGTAGTGATATCAGTGGTTTTAGTTTGTATGTCCCTGGTCTTAATGAAGTTGACCACCTTTAAATGTATTGACCATTTAGATATCTTCTTTCATTAAGTACCTCTTTAAATCATTTGCTCATTTTTTTTTGTTGGATTGTCTTATCTCCATCTATAGGACTTCTTTATATAATCTGAAATGAATCCTTTATTAAGTATATTGCATATTTATTTGCATATATTATGATGTATTATTATATTGCATATAAATATATTGCAAATACCTTCTGGTCAGTGACTTGTTTTTCACTCTATCACTGGTGGCTTTTGATGAAACAGAAAGGTTCTTGATTTTAATTTGGTCCATGTATTTTTTTTTGTTCTTTATGGACAATATTTTTTATGTCCTGTTTAAGAAATACTTACCTACCTCAAGGTTATGAAGCAATTCTGTTGTCTTTTCTAGAAGCTTTATTCTGCTTTTCATTTATAATCCATTGTGTGTGTGAGAGAGGGATCAAATTCCTTTTATTATGTGAGTATCCAATTATATCTTTATTAAAGCTTTACGTTTTTTATAAAGGTCTTGTGCATTAATTTGTTATGTTCATAAATGCTTTAATTTTTTATTGCTATTGTTTTACTTTTTTCTTTATTTTA